CCCGGTTCCCCCCTCAGCCCCTGAGTGGCCGCGGCCCCGCTCGGCCCGGCCCGGCCCCGGTTCCCCCCTCAGCCCCTGAGTGGCCGCGGCCCCGCCAATCCCGGCGCGCGGGGGCTCCATATTGGCCGCTCGCGCTCACCGTGCCGCGCTGCCCGGTCCGCGCCCCGCGCTGATTGGCTCCGCCGCGCGGCCCCCAAGTCCAATCAGCGCCCGCACTCGCCCGCCGCGCAAAATGGCGCCCAACCGCGGACAAAGGGGGAGAGGGGGGCGGGGGCGGGGCCACCCAACCGCGCGCCTCGCCCTGCCCGGCGCTGCTGCGCCTGCGTGGGGGCCGCGGGGAGCATGCGCGGGGCGGGTCCCGCCCCTAAGCCCCGCCCCCTGTGCGGAATGTTCTGGGCCGGGACCATGGAGGGGGTTCCGCCCACCCGCGCGCGCGGAGCGGCCGCCATGTTGTGTGGGGCGGGGCCGCCGTGTCGTGTGGGGCATGGCCGCCATGTTGTGTGCGGCATTACCGCCGTGTTCTGTGAGGCGATACCGCCGTGTGGGCATCCGCCATTTCGCCCGCGAGGCGGAGCCGCCGAGGCTGAGGCGGTACCGCCAATGCCGCCCCGAGGCGGAGCCGCCGTGCCGGCGGAGGCGGCGCGGCCGTGGGGCGGAGCCGCCCCTGCGGCTCGGCCGGAGCGATGTGGGCGGCGCTGGGCAGGCTCGGCGTGGCGCAGGCCGTGGGCCCGGCCCGGTTGATCGCTGTGCGCCCCGCGGGTGCGGCGGCCGAGTGGCCCTGAGGGATGGGAGGGGAAGGAGGAGGAGGAGGAGGAGGGTGGTAATGGTGATGAGGAGGAGGGCGGCAGCCTGGGGGTGCTCATGCTGCGGTGACCCGCGGCCGCGGCCTCCTCCCGGGCCGGACCTGTAGGCGCAGCAGGACTGGGGATGTTCAGGGGTGTCATGGTTGTCCCACTGTCAAAGATCAGTTAGGCTCAGCCTTGCCCCCTCTAACACACTCTTACTGCCTAGCTTGAGGTTCCTAATAATTGTTTTTCTCTCATCTTTCCAGCCGCAGGAGTCTTCTCCATACCCCACGTTACCATGGCCACCCACTTCTCCAAGGATCAGGAGGAGAGAGTGCGTAGGAAATGGGTTACATGGGATTATTATTGTCTGTTCAAAGAGGCCATCCCCTCATTATAGTCTTGACAGCACGGCACTGGCTGCATCCTGCAGCTTTTGAGAGCAAAAGTGGCTGCCAGTGCTGAATTCAATGTGCTTTTTGTGTGTAATGTCAGTGGGGTAGATGCTGTGCAGCAGCACAGAGCTCACCTGCCTGCCTGAGCACCTTGAGACTGGTGCTGCTGGAGGGGTTTCACTAATCCAGCTGTGCTCCCCATCACATAATTACCCTTTTAAGCTTTGATTTTGTAAGATTACCAGCTGAGCTGGCACCGTGATGCTTATAAATGGTCTTGTTGAGAAGGTGTAGTGGGTTTGTAATTCTGTCTATGGGGTTTGCAATCCTCTGTTGTGGGTTTGCAATCCTCTGTAGTGAGTTTGTAATTCTCTATATTGGGTTTGTTATTCTCTGAGTTGGAGTTGTAATGCTGTGAATTTGGTTTGTAGTTCTGCCTGTGGGGTTTGCAATTCCACACGTGGGGTTTGCAATTCCCTCCTTTGGGTTTGTAGCCCGTGCCAGCTCAAACACTTCCACCCTGCACAGCAAACTCAAACCCTGCCCCTCTTGCTGCCCAGCCCCTGCTCAGCAGAGCCCTGTGTGCCCTCTGAGGAGGTTTTGCTGCCCCTGCCCTGCAGATCAGGTGTGTGAAGGGGGACCTGTTCTCGTGCCCGGGCACGGACGCCCTGGCCCACTGCATCAGCGAGGATTGCCGCATGGGCGCCGGCATCGCCGTGCTCTTCAAGAAGAAGTTTGGAGGCGTCCAGGAGCTCCTGGATCAAAGTGAGTGGGGCCTGAAGGAGCTCCTGATTTCCAGCAGGGAGAGTGTTGGAGCTGCTTGGAGTTATGGAGTGTGGCTGTTCTAAAAAAACCTTGATTTTTGTGCTTTAGAGAAGAAGACAGGGGAGGTGGCGGTTCTGCAGAGGGATGAGCGCTACATTTACTACCTGGTAAGTGCTGGGCTGGCACTGGGACACCTCCCTGGAGTTAAAGTGTGTCACATATCAGGGATTGATAGCTGTGGGGGTTTTGGTTGTGTTCATGGGATCAGGGAATCACAGAATGGTTGGGATGGGAAGGGGTCTTAAATCTCATCCTGAGCTGGGGCACCTTCCCTTATCTCCCAGGGTGCTCCAAGCCCTGTCCAGCCTGGCCTTGTTCACCTCAGGAATGAGACAGCCACAACTGCTCTGGGCAGCCTGTGCCAGGGCGTCGCCACCCTCACAGGGAACAATTCCTTCCTAATATCCCATCTAACCCTGCCCACTGGCAATGTGAAGCCATTCCTGTCGTCCTGTCACTCCAGACCCTTGAAAATAAATAGTCTGTGTCTTGTTGACTCCCTTGGGGCACTGGAAGGGAGTTTCTGGAATGTTCCTCTCTCTAAGAGATGTGTCCTTAACCATTGCCTGTGAGGAGCAGCCAAGCTGTTGTGTGCATCTGCATTTCAACTTTACATGGACAGAACTGGCTGCTAAATTTGGGTGGTTTAAGCTGTGAAATGTTCCTTGCTCAGGTCCTTCCACAGAAGCAACTCTGGGTGTGGAGTTTTGGGGTATCAGGGAACGTGTGTTTTGTGCCAGCATTTTTAACACACAGAAGTTTGCAGGGGTCATGCCCAAGGCCCAGCTGAGCTTTTCTGTTTTTCTGTAGATTACAAAGCAGAAGGTTTCTCACAAGCCCACGTATGAGAGCATGCAGAAGAGCTTGGAAGCCATGAAAGCTCACTGCCTGAACAACGGAGTCACCGACATCTCCATGCCCAGGTGAGGGGCTCAGGAGCTGGATGCCAATGCTTAGGTGTTTAATTTCTATAAGGATGTCTGAGGGATGATCCCCTGCTGTGAAATAAGAATTCAAGCATCCACCTCTATCCAGCTCCTCTATTCAAAAATCTTAATTTGCATTTCCCTGTGCATTTATTTCCTTGTTCTCCCCACGTCCTGTGGGTTTATGGGGAGCTGTGGCTTGGCCACCTCAAACTGCAGCTGCTGCCAGGGCTGGTTGGGCACAGCACAAGGCCCAACAAAGCTCTTCTGGTGCTTTATCTTCCAGGATTGGATGTGGACTGGACGGCCTGCAGTGGGAAAAGGTGTCAGCCATCCTTGAGGAGGTGTTTGAGAACACTGACATCAAGATCACAGTTTACAGCCTGTGAGCAGAACGAAGATCCCCACTTCCCCCAATTTTGGCATCAGAACCTGTGAACTGACAAGGCGGGGGGACCTGTGTGTGGAGCACGTTCTGCATTCGTGTGTCACTCACTCGTGTGACAGTGACAGGGGCTTCCAGCAGCAACAAGCTCCAGAGAAGTTCATTTGGGCTGTTAATTAGCAGGAGGCAGCGGCGCTGTGAAAACCCTGGGGAGTTCCCAGCGTGTCCCTGCAGCCACCAGGTGTCACTGGGGCTCCGCGCAGCCAACGGAGCCGCTGCTCGTGGGTTTGTTTCTCTTTGGCTTGGTGCTGATGAGCTGCCCCGGGCAGCGCTGGCACCTCTGCTTTGTTCTCTTTGCGATGCCCTGCCTGGCACCGGGGTCACTCACCTGTTCTCACAGCTGGAACGGTTTCATTTCTCCCTTCCGGTCACAAATTTGGTTTGCTGAGATGGTGCTCACTCAGGATCATGCTGGGATGTGAAATAAAGAGTGCCCTGCTGTTGCATTGTACCTGTGGCTGTTCTGGGGACAGGCTGGGATTGCTGGAGGGGAGTCAATACACCTGGCGGGTGTGTTTTATTCAGCAGCTCTATAATTTACAGTCTGCAGAGCTCTGTTTGGTGAGGATCCAAACAGGCTGATGTGCTCTAAAAACTCACAGGATGGACCTGAAGGTGGGATTTTCACATTTCTTTCTTTGTTGCATTTGTAGTTCAGGTGTTAAACAAAGGTTGGTGTTTGTCACCCAAAACAAAAGCAAATCAATACCACCCCTGCTTCCTGAGATCCATGGAAAACTCCTGACTTGGAAGAGTTTGTTCCAGAACTGAGGAACTGCCACAGATTTTCCCTTCATGTTTGGTTTCTAAACCCTCCCACAATAACCAATCTTTCGGATTTCTGTCATTCTCAATGCCCAGAAAAGTGCCAGGTGTGTTGAAGAAATATAAAAATGGAACACAAGAGTGGGGAATTTTGTAACATGACAGGGTTCCCAGTTGGATTCCTTGGGAAGGACTGGGTTACTCAATTCTGTGGGGCTTTTTGCTGCTGCAAATCCCATTTGTCTTTAAGATCTCCCTATCCTTACTCTCCTTGTTCCTTGCCCATATTTTGTAGACCTGTTTGGTGGGGAATTGCTGTAGCTGGGAAAAACCACAAAGAGGAATTTGGAGCAGTGAGCTGATCCAGAACAGGCACTGAGGCTGCTCATGGATTCAGTCTTTCCCCTGATTTGTGTCTGGGTTTTTCTGGTTCCTTACTCATGGCATCCCCGTGAGCTTTGTTTTACATGGAAACTAATCCTGCTCTCCAACACTTGTGTGTACTCTGGAAATTTTTTTGGCATTTAGTTCTCCCTTCCCAGCTAGAAAATATTCCCTGTGTGGCTGTCCCGGGATGCCCTTCAACTCAGACTTGTCAGGTTCAATTTAGGACTTCTTGCAAGTAGAGAAGAAGGAATAAACAGTGTTTGGACTTCTTGCAAGTAGAGAAGAAGGAATAAACAGTGTTTTGACTTTTGCAATGGCTTCCCATTTTATTTCACTCTGCTTTTCCCAGGTTTACATCCCAGACAACATTGTTTGATATCAAATTCTTGGGCTCCATCATGATTTGGAAGAGAGCTGTTGGCCCTGAATTAAATCACAGCTCTGACTATTGAGGAGAACAGAGGGAGAAATCTTTTTCACCTTAAATCCCTTTCTTTTCCCCTTTCTAATGCATTTATCTAACCAGCAGCTTTGTTCTAAGGTCTCTTCCCATGAAATATTCCCAGAATATGATCCCACAGCCTGCCTGTGGATCACTACCATCCCTTTCACCACAGCATGGGTTTGGTTGGGGCAGGGAGGGGGAGGAACAAAAAACACCCAAAAAAATCCCAAACACCAGAGGTCTGTTGTGTGTGTGTGTGTGTGTTTGGAGTCCCAC